TGCGAGAGCACCCTCTGGCCTTTGGATGGAGATTTACTGCTGATCACAGAACCGGGCTTCACTGAAAGATACAATCGCAGCTTCTGTCGAATCGCGATCTCGATTCCATTTCGATTTATCGTGCAGCCCTAGTGTGCAGAAAGGTTTCTGTGGTATTTTCCCTTGCTGCATTGGTGTAGAAGTGATATCATTGATTAGGTGAGGTGATAGGTGTGTAAATTAGTGGGTGAGCAGCAGTGCTGCTGTACTGAAGGTCAGTGCTGTGTGTGTTCAGTGTTACTCTCACTGCAGACCCTCACAGCACATCAGCTCAGTGTGACGTGCACTCGCTGCAGTATCATTACACTTCCCTTTTGTCACTTACAACAGGCAAACATGTTTGTGTGAAGGTGATTGTCTACGTGGGTGAATCTCACAAAGAATGAGTCATATTTGAAGTCGATAAAATCTTTTATAATAGATAAAATTCTTATATATATATATGTAACTAAGATACTAATAATGTTAGAGGAAATGTATGATATTAGATATAAATATTAGATTTTATTGAATATTTATAATTTTTTTTGTTCATATGTATATGTACATACACTTTTTTTTTAAAGTATTTTATATATTATACTCCATTATGTGCATAGCTAATGAAAATATTTAAAGACTATTACAAAAATTAATGTTGACAAATAAAAATGACATGAAAACATGAACATATGACTACAAAAAATAAACACTGTTAGACTGTTGCAACAATGTTATCATAAAATAAACCTCTAAAAGAAATAGCTGCATGAGGTGAAGCTGAAGAGATGAACTCCAGTAACCTGAAGCCTGTTCTATGCCACATCCTGTGAGATTAATCAAAAATCCTAGATCGCAGATGCAAGTGAACTTCAGCTAAGTTACATCATCTATCCAGAGAGTGTAACTCCTGCTGTGGATGGGCTCTCTTCATAGCAGCACGTTGAAACATGGGCAAGGAAAGCAAAAAGAATTCACATCACAACATCCTATAATGTTCTCGTTATAATGTTATGTATGTGCCTACTGTTGGGAAAAAAAAATGGCAAGAAAAAAAATCACTGCTGCCTTAATATCATCATGTTTTTGAAAAAGAAGCATCTAAAAGCAGTGACTGTCTCAAATAACCCAGTCATAGTCAATAATATTAGGCAATGCTTTTGAGAATGTGAATAAAAACCACCCTGCAGTGCTTTGTTAGCAGGTTAATAAACCTAGACAAATGCATCCTATATAAAAATAATCCGATATATACCTATTACAACTTACATCTGCACAAAAGGAAACGAATGCACATGTGAGCATGACCGTGCTAGTCTGAACTTCCCTTAACAGTGCGCTGAACAACAGGCAGCTAAAGCACAGAGAATTTACAGCATTCTATAACAATCCTGTTCTCATGATAATGTTATGTATGGGACAGACTGGAGCTGCACATCTTGTGTTTAACTGTATTTCATGATCAAAGTGATTCCAGGCATCGCTGTGGCCGTTCTAATCCAGTTTCACTTTATTTCCACGGTCTGGAAGGCTTGCTGTCGATCATTAACAAATCAGACCACAGATACCGGCCAAAATTCCGCAATAACCAATCAGAAAACAGCAAAATATATTTTTTTAGTCAGGGCAATCATAATTTTCATGATCGATCATTGCTGTCCCATCCGAGTACTCTTGCCCATCCCATATATATATATATTCTAGGGGTGGAACGGTTCACGGAAAAAAATCGAACCATACGGTTCTCCACACACGGTTCGGCACGCGCTAGGACCGTGGTTCAACTTAAATCTGACAACGCATCTGTAATATGGTTTGCTATAAATAACACGTAAAACAAACAGGGTTCGGCTAATATATGTTTCTGTTGATGGATGCGCATTCTGGCTTACCAATACATTACAACAACAGCGATGAAAAAAAAAGTGGACAAACCATTCACTCTTGTTCAATGCGAATGCCATATACTGGAATATGAGCATTTATTCCGTCATCAGCCGGGTGCTGATAGCGCGCGCGCACAGGTGAGACCTGAACAGCACACGTTGATATCTGTGTTTAAGCTAAACTCATTTAAGCTTTGCCAGTTTAAACATTTAAGAGCCGGTCTCAGCCAGAGGACGCGAGCTCGCGCGCGCAATGAGAAGATTTGTGCGTGCGTTCATCCGAAGCACGCAAATATTAAGCTCTCTGAAGTATTGTGTTTAAATGGACAAATTCACACAAAAATGATGTCAAAATGCCCGTCTTGGTAAGTATCATATAGCAGACATAGCCGGCTGAACGCACTTTCCTCATTTGTAAGTCGCTTTGGATAAAAGCGTTTGCTAAATGACTAAATGTAAATGTAATATTAATCAAACAGCAACAACAAAGAAATCACTCACTGCTCTTGATTGAATAGCTTTTGTAACTTTAATAAAGATTAATCTTTAATTTATACAGTCAAATATGCAATGCTGTTTTACATTTCATTACTTTATTCAATTTCTGTACCTGAAAACTGTTAGACATATATAAGATGAAGTGAAGTAAATTCATCTGGCTCCATTAAGGTTTGATGAGGAAGACGCATCAAAACTAAATCACAGACCTTGTACAGTGGTTTTTGTAGATGTTTGCTCTCTGTAGACAAAGGGCACTGTTAGCACACTGATGTACAGACATAAACCAGACTTCAGCGACAGACGCATCACATGGACTAATGTGAACATGGTGGCATTAACTGTGTTGTGAAAATGTGCGACAATCCAGACAATAGAGTATCTGTTTGCATTGATGTGCTCACCTCACTGGTCAACAGCCTGTCCTCAGACTGAAGCTCTAATTTGAGCTCACACACTGGGACAGGCCACAATTGATGCTCTGTTCCACAGTCAACACAGAAAGAACCAAATGTACCTCACGACAGTCGAGAGAAATCCCCGTTGTCAAACACTTCTCTCTCTGTGTGTCTCTCTCTCTCTCTCTCTCTCTCTCTCTCTCTCTCTCTCTCTCTCTC